TCCTGCAATTTTTATTGGCTCCGAGCCTAATTTTTGTAGATCCTTAGCCCGGGATTTTCTTGACATAAGGGAATCCCCCCTCCTCGGGCTTTGCGGGTTAATTAATAGAGCCCGAGCCCGACCCGATACTTTATTAGGCCCGACCCGAGCCCGACCCGTTTATAGCGGGCCTAAAATTTGGGCCCGACCCGACCCGCAAAATCTCGGGTTGAACCTGGCCCGTTTCGCACCCTAGTTCAGACGAACTAGGTGCACAACGAATTAAAAGGTATTTACTTTGTGATAATAATATTTGTATTTATTGAATTGTATTTATTTAATTTACAGATTGATGATAATAATGGACCCACCTAGTATTGCGGGGTTTAAATTTATTTTCCGACATTAAATTTAATAATTGATACGACATTTGAATAATAATAATAATAATAACAATATACGTAATAATAAGAATAACTATTTACGTTGAATTTTTTTTTGAAAACTTTGTTCATTTTTCGAACTATAAAACCCATTATTGCATTTCAAAGCATGTTTTGAGTGTTCAAACTGTATATATGAAAGCCGAAAAAGAAAACGTGAAGATCAAATTTTTAAAAAAACTGTAAAATCCAAAGAGATTAAACATATAGTTTATAGTTTATGAAAAGCTTATGGATGTTGAAGAAGAAAGCAATATGCATATGAATCTTGTGATAGCTGTGAATAATTAATGAATTATAAGTAAATGACACCGAAGAAGTTTTTGCAAGTTCATTAACACTTGAGATTGTAAAAATCTGTGAAAAAGGAGATGGTTTTGCCATAAAAAATACGATAATAAACAAATTAAGACTACTTCATTTACATATTGGTGTAGCTGTCGCTGTGAACTTGAAAGGAGGATGAAAAAAAAAGATTTTATTATGCAAACACCTTGTTAATCCTCTTGGGAAGTGGATGCATCATTTTTTCGAAAGGTCTGTTATAATAATTTTTTTTTTTAAAAAAAAAAAATTCAAATTTAATCTTATTTTAATTTAGGTGCAATAAAATTCTCAGCATCCTTTTATTTCGGAAGCTAAGGAAACTTTATGGGAAAATATTCGACCAACTTTAATTAATCATGCACAAAATAATTTAATGATTGACCTTGTGAATCCGAGTACTGAAGATAGTGAATCCGAATCTAGGCGCTCGATTGTCTTGAAAAATCTAATAATCTTCGAAGCATTTAATCGAACTTTAAACCTATCCAAAAATGGTGGATGACTTTAAAGATTTTGAACGAGCAAAAAAGCTTCCAAAAACTTGGAGCGGTCGTAACAAAAGCACATTTTACTGGTAGCATTTAAAGTTTATACGTGTATTAAAAAAAAATTTTTGAATTAAATATAAATATTTGAATTGAAAGTAATTCGACTTAGAATTTGCAGTGGTAAAAGTAAATTATTGTAATAATAATAATAATAAATTCGAAAATGTGATTTTGTTATTATTATGCTTGGATTGAAATTTAACAACCATGATTTTGGTGGTGTTACTAGGTGCGTTGGACAGTATGAGTGAATCGGAGCTTGAAAATTGGTTTAAAAAAATTTCCATCGAGAAAATTTGTCTATAATTTAAGAAAATTCTACTTCGACAATTATATCACGTGATATTCGGTACTATAGTTACCAATTTTCGCGTTATCTTTGTTAAAGTTTAAAAATCAGTTTTTAATAATATTTGAACGATTTTTTTTCGAAGCACCCTATTGATACTCTATTGGTCTCGATTGGTGAAATAGTTACAATCAGTGATATCCTATTGGTGTACTATTGCTCTATTGACCCCCTTTGGAGCCAAAAATAGGGAGGTTTCCGGTACGTTAAACCGGTATTGTTAGAGATCTTAAAGATAATATTTATGCAGTACCGGTTAATGTAAATTATGGATGCTCCAATATTTTTCCGTGCCCCTGCAGCAGTATATTTGATATCGATTTTGCAAAAAAATCAATCAAATTCCGTAAATAGAAGTAGTCATAGCGGGGGCGTATCAAGATATCAAGATACCGCAGTATTGGTCTGTGTCTTTGTGATAAATTTAGAATCATATAAAGCAAATATTTACATCTTTTATTGACTTTTCCTCGAGTGAGTAAATCGTATGAGTCATAACGCACGTACGTACGTACGTACGTAGATCGGAAGCACGCAGTTTAGAAACCAAATCCAGGACCAAACCCGGTTTTTTTAAAAAGCTCTTTCCGTACAGTGCACCAGTCATAATCTCTGCATGACATCTTATGACATCTTCGAATGCTCTATTTCCAATTAAGGGTAAATAAAGTATAAAAATCACAATACGCGTTTGAAGAAATATAAGGACCTTTTTTTTTCTTACGAATTTTACTCACGTTAAATTTTTATCTTCTTTAATATCATTTTTACTTTGTTTTTACACTTTTTTTTTTGATGGTGGTTTTTATAGTAGTTTCGATGGTGGTTTCGACGGTGGTTTCGATGGTGGTTTTCGATGGTGATTTTGACGGTGGATTTGATGGTGGTTTGATGGTGGTTTTTGATGGTGGATTCGATGGTGGGTTTGATGGTGGGTTTGATGGTGGATTCGGTGGTGGTTTTGATGGTGGTTTTGATGGTGGATTTGATGGTGGTATGATGGTGGATTTGGTGGTGGTTTGATGGTGGTTTCGATGGTTGTTTTGATGGTGGATTCGATGGTGGTTTGATAGTTGATGGTGGATTCGATGGTGGTTTTGATTAGAGCTGCAGACATTAGAATATCAATAAACATATACTATGACGTTTGACGTGACGTATGTGACGTGACGTTTAATATGTTTATATATAAATTTTATATGACGTAAAGAGTGACGTACTACCTTGGACCTTCTAAATGTCTGCAGCTCTAGTTTTGATGGTGGTTTCGATGGTGGTTTGATGATGGATTCGGTGGTGGATTTGATGGTGGATTTGATGGTGGTTTGATGGTTGATGGTGGATTTGGTGGTGGTTTTGATGGTGGATTCGATGGGGTTTTCATGTTTTTTTTTCGGTGGGTGTAAGGAGTTTTTTTTTATTTATTTGCTCGAACTCTAGAGAATAAATTGAGTTAAAGCTAAGAACAACCCGCTTGACTGGGAACCGAGTACCGGCGAGAGATGGGTTGGGGTTCGCCTTCCCAACCAATGAGATACACCTCTACGCGGTGGTTGGGACTAGTAAGAGATTTAATCTCTGAAGCTAAGTATCTCGATTTTTTATATATTTTTATTTTTTTATAAGTTAGTAAATTTAAATTATTTTCGAATTTTGTATAGTTGATTTTTGATTTAATAAATTTTAATAAAATTCATATTTTTATGTAATATATCAAGAAGTAATATTTAATAAAATATTTAATGAAGTAACTTTTTTAAAAAAGAAAAATTGCAATATTGTTATACAGGATATCATATTATAAATTTATTAAAAAAAGTGTAGTAAAAAAGTAATAAAAGCGTTGTGTTAATTTTTGTGTCGCTATTACAGCATTAATCTAAGTATTCGGTATTATGTATTATGAAATACAATATAGTAATATTTTACTATGGTTCAACGTATAATATATGATATAGCTAACTATCTATATAACGGAAATCCGGGCTGAATAAAAATTTTCGTTATATGGCTTTTTTATTATTAATTCGAGAAATTTGGTTCATTGCAATTTGTCCGTTAAACCGATGAATACGGTCTAAAGGTACCCGTTATATCGGTAGTTGACTGTATGTGGTTATATATACATTCTAAAAATGCCATTAATGCGCTACATAATCTGTATAAACTGCTATATAAAATCATAGCAGTTACGTACGTACGTATGTACGTATGTACGCATATTCACAAGCCATCAAAAATTTTGCACAGCCAGATTGAAGATGAATCTTACACAACTAGAAGCAAGATTTTAAAAAAAAGGATCGGATCGGGTTGTTCTTTTTAAGCAATTAATTCGATTTTCCACGTTTCGTAATTATTCTTTCATCCTCATTAATATCTCGTCTCTTTCGTTTCATTCATCAACTTAAGTAATACTGATGGCGAACTCATACCCTCCCATGAGGTACGCTTTTAAAGTTTATGCAACTTCTAGTGTCTTATTAGGACATTTGGAGGTTGTGAATGTAAAACCAATTTACCAAATAAAGTAATTGTGTCTTGGTTTGTATTATGTAGATGATCGTTATACAATTATTTATAAGAAATAAATTATTTTCTGTCAATGACAAAACCAGTTTTTCTTCTAACTTAAAAATTTACAAAGTTTTGTGAAGATTAAATGTTTGAAAAGTAAGAATGGAGGATAATAGTCTAACAGGCCACAAACCATACAAAAAAGACGGAAAAACGATTCTTCTTCCAAAAACAGATCAAACTCGAAAACTTATAACTCGAATATTGACGAAACTAAAAAAAAGAAAAAAACCTCCTTCGGCATTTAATTCTTATGTTTCTGAGCCTGACAGTTCGTTTAATGCTGAGGAATCATGTGATTTATTGAATCAATTAAAAGACGTTTTATTAGTTTGTGAATTACAAGGAATAAATTTTGCTCATAGGTGAGTGGATTTTTAACATGAATAATGTATTAACTATCTGTTTTGAATAATTACCCTAAATTTTTTTGTTCTTTATTTAAAGGTCTCCATATGCATCACGAGATCCATCACCAAGTCGTTCAAATTCACCATATCCTTCGAATAAAAAAAAAAGTCCTGGAATTCTCGAAATTATTTTGGAGATTTTAAATGATATGGTTCAAAATGACTGTCGATATAAAGTTACAAATCCAAGACTTATTCGACCACCCAATGCTTTACAAGCAATTATACTGGACGTTGCTCATCTTTTGATCAATCAAAATCCACATTCATCCAGTTGGTTATATGAACTGGGTATGGCATTGATCCCTGGATTCAACTGCTTCAGTGATCCTTTACGTTCGAGATTGTTGAAATTTTATAGCGATTTTTTGATTCCCCAATTAATATCATTACAAACTGGTCACATTAATGCTGCCGTGTCAAGCCTTATATCTAAAAATAATGCTAATTCCACTGTCAATTATTTGACTGGTAGGATAAACCGAAATTTTGATTATTTTTTTAAATTGATAGTTGAATTTATATTTATTGATTAATTTGATTTTTTATATATCTTAGAGAAAGAGAACTCTTCACATATAAACATCACTATAAACGATGAACATGTACCAATTGAGGTTGATCAATCAAATCTTAGAAAAAATTCATCAAATACAAATTTGGATTTTTCCGATAATGATCACAGCGTGAAACATAGGCGGCCCGCTAGGAGACTGTCTATTTCATATTCTGGTGATTTACTTGTAGACGCTTATTATACTGATTCAATTTTTGCACCACTCTTGTTTTCGATCTTTCAATTCATTACTATTGAAGAGTCTTCTTTAGAAACATTATATCAAATGCATCGTACTTTTGGATTAATGATTTATCATAAACCAGGTTTATATTATGACATATTGGAAATAATAGCTTATGGCGATGCTACAAGTCGTAGTCTTGCTTTGAATATTTTATTTTATTTTTGGAATAATAGTATTGGACATCCTTCTGTTGGTGAGGTTCTACCAAGTATTGGGTATAAGGGAGATTTAAATACAAAAGAAAATTCCTCAAGTAAAGGTATTATTCCAAGAAAAACAAGCATAAATCAAAAGAAACCTTCAGCTAATGTTGAAGATATTCATCTTCATCAACTCTATCCGCATATATTTCTTAATGATTTGAATATGTACGCCGGAAAAGATGATAGGCATACTTCGTTAGCTGAACAATCTACATATCATCCTAACACATGTGTACAATGTTCAAAACCAGTATTTGAATTTGGTTTACGTTGTTGGGGTTGTAAGTTAAATATTCATTTTAGATGTTATAATTCGCCTCATGGTGGATTTCAGGCAGAATATCCTTTAAATTCCGGAGTTCATAAATTAGCCACTCCCAGATATTGCGATATCATTCATAGTAAAAGAGAATGCGTCTTTAAAGGATGCTTTCAAGGCGATAATTCTGATTCTCCAATTATCTCTGAAAATATTGCCGAACATAAATTTCATCTTGTCAACCTTTTTACCTTAGCATTGTGTATAGTTTGCCACTTACCCTTATGGGGTGTGATGCACCAAGGATATAGATGCCAATTATGTAATCGATTTATTCATTCAGGTTGTTTGAACTCTAAACATTTAGAAACAAAAGCTCGTTGTAAAGTGTCTGCTATGAGTGAAAGCGATGTGGCTATTGAGTATGAAGACTTACGTCAAGATTTTTGTAAATATTTTGACCTTACATTAATTCCGGAAAACTCTATATCACTACATACTTACGAAGAGTTGTCTATGATGTTAACAATTCTGCAAATACAAGATAATATTATGCAGAATGGTATATTAGCCGGTTGCCTTGTTATAAAAAAACAAAACCATGATCCCCTAGCTTCAACTTCAGAAGATTTTGAAAGATTTGAGCTTCAAGAAACAATTGATCTATACAAATCGTACTTGGATGATAGCAAATTATCCCTATGTTCATTATCGGTTGAATATTGGAACGCTATTAAAAAGAATTATCATCCATGGATGATGTTATGTGAAGATTACCTTGCTCATATAGCATCGGTAATTAAGTCATCAAATCATTTTGAACCTTCAGAACAAGATTATTTTGATAAACATTTAAGTGTATATAGTGCAGAAGCAAATATTACACCATCGCAAGGTACTTCAAATAATTCAGATAGAATCTTAGCTTCACATGAATTAATTAAATGGATTCAAGAAAATATGAAATTCCGTAGTAGTTTTTCAACAAAAGTAATTTTACAACAACTTGTTAATGTTGGATTTCTTGAAAGGATTGATGGACATCCAATATTGTTTGATGAAGATGATCCCGAAAAGAATATAGTCGAATGTTCAATTCCTCTGCCATTTGCGACAGAATGCTCTTCAACAGTCGAAACTCTTTTAACAGCGATTTCTTCATGCCTATCTGATGTAAATATATCGATTAATGAGTGTGGATTTCTTTTCATGTTAAGACGCTGTTGGCCTGGTCCTTTTATGTCCAAATATGTTCTGGAGCGGTTGGTTTATTCGATTATTGAATGGATGAATGACGAAGATGAGAGGCTATTAATAATTGGGAAGGAATACACCGCTGCACGAAGGTTACCGGGAGTTCGTGATGAAATGGAAGATAATCAACAGCAAAAGGGATACTTTCCAAATTCTGCTGGTGGCGGTGCTTACGTGATAAGTCGTAAGATGTTAAAAGAAAAATACATTTTGCAATGGTTATCTGCAGTTCATGAATTGAACGAAGAATTATTTTGTGATATCGTTTATGACCAGATAAAAATGGTTTATGAAAATCAAAATCAACAGGAACATATTGATACAAACGTACGTAGGTCCATATTAATAATAGAATAATATTAAAACAGATTAATTAATGTATATACCATACTTAATATTTAGGATGACGATTTTCAGTTTCATGACCGTATGCTCAAATGTATAATTAGACTATGGAACGAAGGCCTACTTTTTACTTCATTCAATGAAATACTTTCCAAATGGTTAGATGAAGTTTACCAGCTAATGAAAGATCAACCGCAAGTAATTATCGAGATAATTATATTTTGGTGAAATTTGGATAAATAATTCTAACATATTTATTTAAATTTAAGAAATTCGTAGAATTTCGAACTTTGAGTAAAGTTTTTGGTCTGGTAAAACCCACTCCTCAACGAAAGAATCACGTGGATCAAATAACTGTAGCCTCCGAGAGTAACAATATTAATGTTAGTATTGACCCTATAGACACAATTACTAAATTATTCAAAAACAATGATGTCCAACTATCAAGAGCCTTGCGATGGATGGAGTTGATGGTGCGTGCTGGGTGAGAATAAATTCAAATTCGTTCAATATTTGTTATGAACCTTATAAAGCTTATTAATTCTACTGATATTTTAGAGTTGGTCTTCCCGGCACAGTGTTTTCAGATTACCTTTCACTATTAGTAAATATTTCGCCAACACTTGATCAGTACACAACTTTCTTGCAAATTATTTGGTACCAGGTTACGATTGGCCTAGGAAATATTATTCAGCGTGGTACTATTCTTAAAATTCTATTCAGTATCAATGAAACAACTTTTGACATGATAAAAAAAATCAGCAAAAATGGCAATGAAACAGGAATTGCAAGGTTAGAATTAGGTCCTTATTGTTATTTAAAACGATTGACTTTTTTATGCAGCTACAATTAATCAATTATTTGACATTATGATCGATACAGTGCTAAATCTTTTGTTAAAACTGTACTTGTTTTGACTTTATATTCTTACAACTGTCCGCTTGAAAGCATTTACAATTTGAATATAGTAGATCAACTACAACATAAACCTCTATCTGCAAGGTAAATCAAACTTTGTTAATCTATCTAAAGTGTTGCCTTCCGTAATTTTGTAATCCTTATAGTTTATTTACCACCAATTCATTTATTTACCAATTCATTTAGTATTCTAAAAAGAAAATCAAATATTATGGATCCAACACCGGGTTCCAAAGTCACAGCAGACACTCCTTTAATACAAATGCTTTTAAATTATGCAAGGATGGAAAAATTAGAAGTTCGTAGTGATGTTGTAAAAACATTTTGGAGACTTTTTACATCTGCTAGTCTTATTTTTAATAAGGATGAATTTATTATTAGCAGCATACCAATGTTGTTACCAAGGTAGTTAAAATTGTAATACCAATAATACATACATTATTTCATCTTTATATTATATAATAATTATTCATATTTGTTTATATTGCAGTGTTTGGGAAGCATTGGCCCCTATATATGATGGATCATCTGATGTGACTTTGCAATTATTGATAAGAATTGTTTGGACGGACCCTCGTTTATTTCTTACTTCAGTTAGTGAAGTGTTTGAACATCCAAACTGGGAAGTTAGGTAAGTTATTATGCTGATTTATATACTGAATTTACTAAATTAAAAAATTGTTATTGATATTAATATTAATTAGATTTGACGGTCTTGACAATTTATTCGGACTGTTTTCTAAGCTTGATGAAAAGTTTGAGGTTTCCAGGGCTGGTGTATTTGCTTATTTGGGCCCTATATTCAGTTATTTTGTTGGTTGTATCTGGGATCAAGAGGTTAGTATTTTCATTAGATATTAATTTCTTAATAAAATCTTATTTACAAAGTATAAATGTTATTTCAGGAATATGTTAGAACAAAGGCTATAACTTATATTAGAGCTATGCAACCACAACATATTTGTTTAGCTATTAAATGTTGGGATGCATATTTTAAAACAGCTTCTAACAGAGAGAAAACTTTTTTATGCAGATTAATGATAAAATTGAATGCCAAATTTCCCGATTGGAAAGGTAATTTTTTTTAAATTTTAATGAGTATGTTACAAGTAGGAAAAGAATTTAAATAATTTAAATATATTTGGAACCTTTTTTTTAATAACTTTAACCATTTAATGTTGGGGATAAGGTATTTCTAATTCTAAATATTAAATTAATTAAGAAATTCCGGGTCTAGTTAAACTCCGTTCCCACTACAACATATGCATTTACTTATATATATTTTAAAAATAACTAATAAACATTTGATTTATGTCTAAAATTTTGTAGTTATCGAGTGGGACACATTATTAAGCTTCTTGTCTCAAGAAAATATTGAGGCAGAAGAAGTGTCTACAACAGATATATTGGTAAATTTATTATATAATTTGATGTTAAAATCTTTGGATACTAACTTATATTTTATTCTGCATATTATAGGAAAGTTATATTAGACCGGATAGTATATTGGTGGTTGGATTGAAACGAACTAAAGAAGATCCTGGCTCAACTCCAGGACAAAGAGCTGCTGAAGAACAAAATTTAAGGGTATATGAATTTTTATTATGTACAATATTTTTCAATTTTAAAAGTATACCATGTTAACAAAATTAATGATTAATACGTTAAAATAGATTGTAATGTTGACTTTAGCTCTTCAAATGCTAGCTAATGGTATTGAAATGACGCATGACCAAATAACTACGTTAAATTATTTGATAGTATCAAGCCTAGGATTTAAAAATTGTATACTAGATACAGTTGATGGAGTTCTAAGTGTACATCATGGAGAATTTGAATATATGCCCGAAAATTTTTCTCAAAATATGAAAATGGTATCAATTCTCGGAAATCTTAAAAGAGTACTTGACACACCAATATATCTTAAATCACAAAACGATGACGATATGGTTGTTATTGAAGATGAATTAGCCGGTTCATATTTCATTGATACTGTATTGGCAATGGTTAACTCTTCTGTTGATATGTCTAGTTTGAGCCATCTTATGTTGAAAACTTGGATCGAACTATTGCTTATTATTGTTTATAAGGTAATTAATTGTTTATATAATTAGATTTAATTGCCAAAGATTGATTTTAAAGTATCTTTTGTAATTACAGCATAAAATAGTTCAGGACAAAGAAGACAAAGAACAACTCAAAGAACGAGAAGAGAACGTAGTCAATGCTATAAAAAAAACATTTGAACTAATACCAAAAGATATAACAGAAGAGAATAAACAATTAATAATCGAACTATCTACATCATTGTTAAAACGAGCGCATATGCTAACAGTTACTATACTTGGTACGCAAATTATTACGATAGGGAAACTTTTAACAAAACACAGAAATGATACCAATAGCACGTTAGTTATGAGTGCAAGAACGTTCTTAAGAACGGCATTTCTCACATTCGCGAGACATGGACTGTTTGTTTTGATTTTTAAGGTATAGCTTTTCAATTTTTTTTTTTTTGTAATTCTATATTAAATGGTTTTTAAAACTAGGATCAAGCAGTTGCAAGTGATGACACTGAAGAACTTGACATGTTTAAGGTTCTTCAAGATGTAATTCGAGATGAGCAAATTACATCTGAAGAAGCGTCGGGACCTATTTACTTGCGAGATGAACCTATTCGTGACGTTTTTCACCAACTATTCAAGTTTACGAATAAATTGGCTGTTTCATCTGTTCTCCGTAGTTTGAATAAATATGTGGAATTGGTGCACTCTAAGTCATTTGATGATAACTTAGTTAATGGTAAGAGAATTTATGATATGTTTTATATATTTTTTATTGTGTAATTGATTAATAATTATTTTACAGATTTGGGAGCGTTCTTAACAAAGTTATCTAAACATACAAGTGAATGGAAAGCAACCGATTGGGATGTAAATCCTGTACTTAATATTATCTCTATTATGCTTAAACACAACCCTAGTTCTATAAAAGTGAGAATTACTTTTCAAAATTCGAAATTTGAATGTGATTATTATTATTGTTTATCTATTTTCAAACCTATATTTTACCTTTTTGCACAGGATATAATGCCATCTATTAAAGGTTTTTTGAAATATGCAATCAATAAATGTGCTGTAACTATAGAATCATTTATAAAACTAATGGCCTCCTACAAGGCGGTAGTCGAAATCATTTCTCCTGATGATGTTAAGACTAATGCCTTTGGAGAAGTCATCCTTGAAGAACTTAAAACCGCCCTTCGTGGGGCTAGAATAAGAATGAGTAAAGATACTTTGATAATTTTGTTGCAGGTATAAGAATATTTCATTATTTAAATGCATATACCTATTTCTTATTCCCACGCTAATAAAATCATTTTTTATGTTTATTAATTAGCTTATATTATGGGACATGCAGCCTTCAAAACATATAATGTTTCAGGAAATCGAACAGAGGTTTGGTGATTCAAAAGTCACTCATTCTTATTTTTCAAATGTTTCAGACAATCTGTTCGAAGATTGTGTAAACTTTTTGGAAAGCCCTCCTGCGACAAGACAATATTCAGAAGAAGATTTTAAAGTTAGAGTGTATATAAGTCAATTGGTAGTTTCCATGTGTAATCAAAAAGATGATTTGCTCGCAAAAATATCAGATAGAGGGCACATCTTCGAAGATATTGCCCATCAGTTATTACAGAAGCGAGGAGCGTTAAAATGATGTATCATAACCAGTGTTTAAAATTCAATTTAAAATTATCAAAGAAGTTTAATTTAAATCATTAATGTTCTCAAAAATTTTTTAATGATTATTATATTAAATTATATCAAGCATTTAATTTTTTAATAATGTTCATGATTTTAATATTGACACTTGTATTATACGTAGTATATAAATTGATTATATTACAGTATTGTATTAAAGTACACTATAATAATAATAATAATAATAATAAATAGCAATAATATTTATTTGAATCAACTTTAAATATCTATATATAAAATTAAACAATTTATTGTTCTCAATAAATTAAAAGAATAAAATGATCTCAATAACTCTATTTTAAATTCAATGTTCTTAAAAAAAGTTTGGTGTTCTTTGAAGACCATGAGAACACTGAATTTTAAACACTAATCATTACTGGTTTATTGATAGCTGGCCTAAACAAAAATTATATAAAACTTTAATGAAGTACTGTATATACGTATTATATTAAGGATACTGTATACCAGTGCTGGGAAATTGGACAGTTTTGGTTTTGGACAAAATTATATATATAAAAAATTGATAATGCCACACCCTTTTTAAATTTTTAGAATTTTTTTTAACTTTGATCAAAGATATCTTGACACCCACCTGACCAAATTCGATCTTTTTTTTTTTTTTTTTGAATTCTACAGCTTTCTATAATTAAAATAAAAAAAAGTTTATCGAATTTGGTCAAGTAGTTGCCGAGATACTTCGATCAAAGTTTTATAAAATTTTAAACATCTCAAATACTGTATATGCTGTAGCAAAAATTGTTTTCAAACTTTGATCGAAGATATCTCGGCACCCACCTGACCTAATTTGATCAACTTTTTTTTTTATTTTAATTATAGAAAGCCTTAGAATTCAAGAAAAAAAAAGTTGATCGAATTTAGTCAGGTGGGTGCCAAGATATATTCAATCAAAGTTTTTGTAAAATTCTAAACGTCTATCAAATATCAAATATAATCTGCGGCAAAAATTATTCACAAATTTTGATCGAAGATATCTCGGCACCCACCTGACCAAATTCGTTCAACTTTTTTTTGTTTTAATTATAGAAAGCTATAGAATTCAAAGAAAAAAGTTGATCGAATTTGGTCAGGTGAGTGTCGAGATATATTTAATCAAAGAGTTTGTAAAATTCTAAACGTCTATCAAATATAAGCTGTGGCAAAAGTTGTTTACAAACTTTGATCGAAGTTATCTCGGCTTCCACCTGACCAAATTCGATCATCTTTTTTTTTATTTTAATTATAGAAAGCTGTAAATTTCAAAGAAAGAAGTTGGTCGAATTTGGTCAGGTGGGTATTTAGATATCTTCGATCAAAGATTTTTGTAAAATTCTAAACATCTATCAAATATAAGTTGTAGCAAAAGTTGTTTACAAACTTTGATCGAGGTTATCTCAGCACCAATCTGACCAAATTCGATCAACTTTTTTTTATTTAAATTCTGTAGCTTTCTATAATTAAAATAAAAAAAGTTGAGCAAGTTTGGGCAGGTGGATGCCGAGTTATCTTAGATCAAAGATTTTAGTTTATAAAATTCTAAATGTTTATCAATATAAGCTGTGGCAAAAATTGTTTACAAACTTTGATCGAAGATATCACAGCACCCACCTGACCAAATTTAATTAATTTTCTTTTATTTTAATTATTGAAATCCGTATAATTCAAAGAAAAAAAAGTAAATCAAATTTGGTTAGATAGATACCGAGATAATTCGATTAAAGTTAAAAAATATTTAAAAAATATTTAAATAGTTTTGGACAGTTTTGGACAGTTTTGGACATGTCCAAAACTGTCCAATTAAAAAATTTAATTGGACATGTCCAATTCCTAGCACTGCTATAATCCATCTAGTTTCAATATAATATTTAAGTTCACCGCCAACAATTTTATATCTTGCCATTAGAGTTTTTAGTAAATTATTTGCTACATATGATTTGTTAAAATATTTAACAAGTAAATTGGTTTTTTAACTAATCGAAGTGCAAAGTTATGCTTAAGAATATCTTTAGTGATAAGGTTTATAGCATGTGCTATACATCTAAGATTTAAAATATGTTGATATTGTTTAGTAACTAATTTCTGTGCTCGTTTTATATTAAATCCATTGTCACTAATTATTGCAGCAATTTTTTCTGTTCCAATTTCATTAATAATTTCCTTAATTTGCTATGCTAAAAATTCACCAGTATGTGAATAATTTGAATAATCAGCAATTCAATAAATAAATTCTTTGCGATTAGGTATAAAAAGTACAAAACTCCATATTGATGTTTTATTTAGACTTGTCCAACCATCGACACAAATTGAAGTAGATTTAATTGTTTGTTCAACATTTATATTCATTTGTGCTACTTGTGTATCTAATAAGCAACCTAATATAAAAATTAAGTATATATATAAATAATTAATTATTGTATATATAGTTTTAATTATTAATATATATATATATACCTGCTAATATTTCACGTGATGGTGGATTATATTCAGAACAAAGAGCTTTAAGAAGGTTAACAATAAATGGATTTTCAATTATGTTAAAAGGCAAACCACAAGAGACAAATGCTGCAATTAATTTTTCATCAATTTTTCTTTGCTAAAGTTCTGTAAGTTTTGCTAATTTAAGCTTTTTTCTTTTAGAATTAGATCCAGATGGCTTAATTTCAATATAAACATCATGTGGAATTTCATAATTTTCAACTTTTGGATCATCAAAAAGATTATTTGCGATTATATAGTTGTAATATTGCTTAATATGTTCTGGACAACTTGAGCATTCATGTGCAATATGAGCTCTGGTTTTAACAGGTTTAGCATATTTAAATTTCTTGCTACAATGAATACATTTTCCTCTATAAACACCACAAGATACCTCTTCACCTAATTCAATTTCTTTCCAAATATTAGTAAATTGACATCCAACAGGTTTATTGTTGCTATCACCATTAGAATCACTACTATTATCAACTTGGTATTTTTTTTTGTTCAAATTTTTATCCATTATTGTTAATTTCTTTTAATTAAACAAGAGCAAAATTAATAATGCTGATATATATATATAATATATATATATAAATGTATATTTTAAAATTTAATTATAAAACTCTTCTCGCAGATCACTTTACTAAAATAGGAACAAGAAGAAAAAATTTTCCCGCAGCGATATCTCTAAACTTTACTAAGTAACTTAAGTCTCGGCTTCTAAGTAAAGTTATCCAGCACCCCCTAATCTATCTAAAAGATGTGCAACTTTGGAAAAAGAATGACTCATTTACGAGAAAAGGACAAAAAACACTAAAATAGACCGAAAAACAATTTTTTCATCGTCCCGCGAAAGCGGTC